TAGTGCTAACCATACGTAAATGAAGGAGTGAGTCAATGGCAGAGTACTAGCTGTGAAACCCAGCAAATGGAGCATGCTGAGCTGCACGGCAGTCTCTTCCCTGTAAAATGGAGACGATGAGGGCTCATGGGTCTTCTGAGAAAATGGACAACGATGTCAGGCCTTGGTGCCTCAAGGGATTAGAGATGAGCCTCCTCCCCAGAATGGGGAGGACCACACAGCAACATTCCCACTACCCACTCCAGCATCACTTCCCGGCATGGCATGAGAACCACCCTCTCAACCATCTGGAGCAGAAGATGAGCGTGTAAAGGCATCAAGAGAGACAGCGCAATCTCACTGAAGACCTCTTTAGAAGATCTTTTGAGAGGGAAGTGTAAAACCCTGATTTTTTTTTCTTACCAGTTTCTTAAGTGGCAGCCGACCTATGTTAATGGTTGAAAGCGTTGTGTCAGTGTTTCAGTTTATGAATAAAAATGTAGTCAACATATGACAAGAGCCGAAGGAGACATCAGAGTATGGCTTCTTGGTGGAGATGAACCCTTTGCAGTTGAATATATGACTCAATGACATACAAAGACCTTAAGTTCTTTGATGGAGTGCTAAACAGACATCTGACACTGGGCACCAGAATTCCTCTTGGAGCCAAACTGTTTTGGATGAATCTCTTGGTGCTAAGGAATGATAATGGAGGAACCACAGATCAGCCTTGACAAGTTTAAAAAAAAAATCTGCATTTAATGTATGTGAGATGTAAATAAGGGAGAAAATAAAGGAAGGGAAATAGAAGGTAAGATTGGGCAAGAGAGGAACAGGAAGACCAGATATGAGCTTTTTCCAGCTGTATTCCTTAACCTCCCTGCTGGTGTATTTATAGCCTCCTTGCTTTGACTCAGTCTTAGTTAAGTGATGTCGGTCAAATCCATCTCTTCTTCTCCATCACTGTTGCTCTATTTTAGAAATTTACCACAGAGTTCTGCCTGACTAGTGTCTGTCTATATTTCTCCCATCAGAGTCACGAACCAGCCTACATAACATCACCAAAATTAACGTTCCCATGAAGCCTTACTAGTGAGATGCAGCATACCATAGGGACAAAAAGAACATAATGTCTGCAAAACAAGGTCCAATTCCAAGTCGCCCTGTGATGAACTGTCTGTGAACTGGGCAAGTGCCTTAATCTCTCTTTGTCTTGGATTTCTGCCCTGTGAAATTCAGGTGGTGATAATAGTGCCCCCTTTCAGTCATGAAGACTAAGGGCTAACAGGTGCAAAGGATCACTGTCTTTTTTGAAAAGGCTTGTGTGGACAGCCTGTGGAATTAGGGATAAAACTCATCATTTTATTTGCTTTGAACATCCAGGCTGTGGGGAGGGGTTGTCTTACTGGAGATGTTGCTGGATCAGATGGATCCCCACATGGGGAGAAGCAAATCATGATCCCTACCTCACACCAAACAAGGCTATCGCACCAGATGCACTGCATTCCTAGTGTGAAAAAAAAGACGACACAGACTAGAGAAAAATTAAACAGGATTGTTTGTTTGTTTTTACCTAGAGGTTTTGTTTTGTTTTGTTGAGACAGGGTTTCTCTGTGTTGCCATGGTCATCCTAGACTTGCTTTGTAGATGACACTGGTCTCAAACTCGCAGAGAAGTTATTTGAAAAATGAATATTCCAAAACTCTTTGATCCAGAATACATAAATAATTCCACAAGCCTGTGTTTTTAAAAGAGACATTTATTCAATAGGGAAACAAACATAAGACTGTGCAGTCTCCTTAAAAGGACACACCACAGGAAACAGGCCCAGGAGAAGGTGGTGAAATCCCTTGGTCAGTAGGGAAATACACATGAAAGCCAAAATGGAGAGCAGCCTCATGCCAATCAGAGTGGCTAAACCTGAAAAGGAATCTAAAGCATTATGACTGAAATTCTCATGGATGAGGTAAAAGTGTATGTGGTCATGACCACGGTGCCATGCTATTCCCAGCATGTCCACTCTTGGATGTGGAACCCATATCCAAAACATACACATATTAACCAAAAGACATTTGTAAGAATGTCTGTCGCTGCAGTATTCACAGGAGCCACAGGCTGCTGCACAGAGGAAAACATACATACTATGGCAAGGGTTCTCAACCTGTGGGTCATGACCACAAAGGGATCACATATCAGATATCCTGCACCTCAGATATTTACAATATGATTCCTAACAGTAGCAAAATTATAGTTATGAAGCAGCAATGGAAAAAATTTTATGGTTGGGGGTCACCAAAACCCGAGGAACTCTATGAAAGGGTCACAGCATTAGGAAGGTTGAGAATCACAGCACTATAGGGCTGTGGAAATGAGGGGATATATCCATGCATAACGCTATGGATAATTTTCATGTGCACAGTGCTGAATGACAAGAGGCTAGGTAGGCATGCACGAACACATGCTATGTGCTTCTGTTCATGTAAAGCAAGGTCACTCAGATCACATGTCAGGGAGGGTGATGAGCCTCAGACAAGGAGATCAGCCTCAGCTTGGGAGCGACTCCGGTGGTGCTAACACAAACAGTGCTTCAGCCACATCTCAGAGAGAGGCTGAGACTTTGCCACAGAGACAGAGGAGGAAGCTAGAGTGGTGCGCATCCATGCAAGGGCATGAAACTGCGTGGAGTGTTGATGGGAACGAGTGAGAGAGGGGCACTCTACCACGGCGACTGGATGTGTCCAGTTGGTAGTAGGAAGTCCCTGAGGAGACTAGGAAGCAGGAAGTAGGAAGCAGGAGAGCAGTGTGCCCTGGGTTGATGGTTTTCCAGCGAGGTTTGTGGCCACAGAGGAAACAGTAGGTTAAAAGGCATGGAAGCCTAGACAGCTTGAAAAAAGCTTCGTTTCTGTGTTGGTCTGGGTGGGAGAGGGGAAGGGCTAACGGTGGCGAGCTGTGGGAAGGGCAGAAGGACACAGGTCAAACGGGATGCTCTTGTAGGTAGAGAATAAAGTAGGAACAGAGTGTGAAGCAGCCCAGATGGAGGAGATGGTACTGTGCAAATAGAGTTTGCTTTTGCAATTTTCTCCCTTGGAGGAGAAAAAAATAACAGTTGAAGAAAGTGAAGAGAAGAAAAAGAAGGGGGGAAAAACAGGACTGGGCATGGATCTCAAACACGATACATATGTTAGTGTTACGTGGGAACCTAAACCAGCCTACACCTCCGTCTCTTAGGTAAAAATTCATTTCCAATTGGAGCGAACCATTGAAAAACACAGGTGTGAAACAATGGGCGCATGAATCTGTGTTGTCCAAAAGGTCCCAAAGGGATGTTTTCCTCAACGAGCAGCCTTCAGAGTAGCTCAGCCAGCACATTGCTGCTCCAGCAAGAATCTGTACCATTGTGACTATGTGATTTGCAATGAGGAAAAAAAAAAATCCTTGCTTATCTAATTCATGCATCTGAAGCTGCCTGGCCGGCAGGTGCTAAAGAGCGGTGAACAGATGTCTGTTTGATGCGCCAAAAGTCCTGCATGCGCTCTGAAAGCACACATGCACTGGCTCTCTACCAGAAGGGTGGGGAAGTACCCGGGAAGACGGCGAAGGCTTTGCACATGGGCCTTGGGGACATCTCTTCAAGTTTTGAAGCCCGTGTTGGTGACTACCCAGAGACTTGGCGTCCTGAAGGTATCTGCTTTGTCACCTACAAGCAAAATTAGGACCAGCTCAACGAGGGCTATTTTTTTCTCACACCCTTCATGTAGTGTATGGACATGTGGGTGTGGCTGCCCTTATCTATTACCCCCCATGTGGCTGCCATCACCAATGCCCCACCTATGGTGTATGAATGCGTGGTTTGGGGTGCTCCCATCAATACTGGCAGGTGTGGAGGTCAAAGGTTAAAATAGCTATGTCTTACCTCATTTACCTCTCTACTTTAATCTTTCTAGACAAGGTCTTTCACTGAACCCCAAGCTCACTATTTTGGCTGGAGCAGCCATCTACCAACTCCCATGATTGCCCTGTCTCTGCCCCCCACTGCTGGAGGTACAAGTGTGTACCACTGTTCCCATCCTTTATGTGGGCTCTGGAGATGTGAACTCAGATCCTCATGCTTGTATAGCAGTCCTTAACCCACTGAGCCAATTCCCCAGATTTCCCCAAAGGTTTCTTGGGGCTTCTGATGAGCCTGTGTGGCCTTGCTGGTGGATAGCCCTGCCCTTCAGACCCCTTCCCTCCAATCTGCCTCCCTTGGGCACTTCCCTGTTGCCATTTGGACTCCCTCTCAAATCTTTGCTGAACAAGACATGAGCACCATGGTTGACCCCAACACCTGCTGCCTGTCCCTCCAGAGGTGCCCAGATAGCGCTCTCCATTTGATCCATGACAGAGGGAGGAGACAGCCCATTTTGCTCCTGCTCCAAGACACTGGTGTTGATTGGCATGGTGGGTCATCAGTTAGATCATCAGTTAGATGGGATTTAGAATCACCATGGAAACAAACCCCGGGCATGTCTGTGAGGGTGCTTCTACAGTAGGTTCATTGAGGTGGGATGACCCACCTAAATGTGGATGGTACCAATCCCATGAGCTGGGCTCCCTGACTGCACGAAAAGGAGGAAGCTAGCAGAGCAAAAGGACCCATGTCTCTCTGAGTTTTGACTGTGGATACAAAGTACCAGCCACCTCAAGCCCACGCTATCATGCCTTGCCCACAATGCTATACTCAAACTGTATCCCCCCAAACCGTGAACCAAAATAAGCCCTTCCCTTTTTACGCTGTTTTTGTTATATGTTTTGTCCAGTATTTTGTTATCACAATGAGAAGAGTAACTAACACTCAGTTGGGAGTGTCAACAAGTTTACTGGGCCTGAGATTTCACTTTCCCGGGAAGGTGAAAAAGTTCAGTTGCTGACTTTTCTGGATGGTGGAAGAAGACGCCACGTCCTGGTTAGAGACAAAGGACTTCATTACAACCACAGCTTATCTTAGCAGCGAGTTGTCAGAAATCTCGAAGCCCGAGGGAAGAGCTCGCGCCAGGTCGGACGCCGCACGCCGTCAGCATGGGCAAAGGAGACCCCAACAAGCCGCGGGGCAAGATGTCCTCGAACGCCTTCTTCGTGCAGACCTGCCGGGAGGAGCACAAGAAGAAGCACCCCGACTCCTCGGTCAACTTCGCCGAGTTCTCGAAGAAGTGCTCCGAGAGATGGAAGACCATGTCTGCAAAGGAGAAGTCGAAGTTTGAAGATTTGGCCAAGAGCGACAAAGCTCGTTATGACAGGGAGATGAAGAATTACGTTCCTCCCAAAGGGGATAAGAAAGGGAAGAAAAAAGATCCCAATGCTCCGAAAAGACCACCGTCTGCCTTCTTCCTGTTTTGCTCTGAACGTCGCCCAGAGATCAAAAGTGAACACCCGGGCCTGTCTATTGGAGATACTGCAAAGAAGCTGGGTGAGATGTGGTCTGAACAATCTGCCAAAGATAAACAGCCGTATGAGCAGAAGGCGGCTGAACTAAAGGAGAAGTATGAAGAGGATATTGCTGCATACCGCGCCAAGGGTAAAAGTGAAGCAGGAAAGAAGGGTCCTGGTAGGCCAACAGGCTCAAAGAAGAAGAATGAACCAGAAGATGAGGAGGAGGAGGAGGAAGAAGAAGAGGAGGAAGATGAAGAGGAGGAAGATGAGGATGAAGAATAAGTGGCTGTCCTAAAATGTGTGGAGTGTTTGTGCTCAGGCAATTATTTTGCTAAGAATGTGAAATTCAAGTGCAGCTCAACATTAGCTTCAGTATAAAAACTGTACAGATTTTTCTATAGCTGATGAGATTCTTTGTAGAAAAATACTTGTTTTTTTTTTTTTAAAAAAAGGAGTTTGTAGCTTTTTCAGGGGCTACAAAGTACAGTTAGATTTAAAGCTTTTGATGTTGAATGTTCCTAAATATTTAATGGTTTCTTTAATTTCTTATGGTAGCAAAAAAACAAAACTTCATAGGAATTTGTATTACCAGTAAATTTTTTTAGGATGTTGAATTTTTTGTTTTTTTTTTTAAATTTGTAATAAAATAATGTATATTAATTGCAAAAAAAAAAAAAAAAAAAGAAAAGAAAAGAAATCTCGAAGTCCCAGGTTCTACATGGCGATGTGAAAGGGGCCAGTTGTTGCCTGAGAGGCAATAGGTGGCAGCAAAATGAGATAGAGCATCCTTCCAAGTTTAACTAGTCCTGATATCTCTCAGCAGCAACATGGGAAGAGTGTATCTAGTATAATGTGAAGAACAGACAATAACAATGGTGGTGGAGGCACAAACCTAGGATCTCTAAGGCTCTGGATTTAATACTCAATACCCCTCCCAGAAGAAGACAACCCCGAAATATAGCATGGAGACATACTTCAGAAGAATCTTGAAAAACAAATCAACCCCCTCCACCCCGCCTCAGCCTGCCCTTTCTTTCTCAGTTAATCCAAGGCTAGCTCCAAAGTGTAGCTCTGGGGTTTAAAAGCAAGCCACTCTTTGGGCAGTCAACAAGCATTTTCTGAGGGGTTTCCACTGTGTTTGGTACTAGGAGGACAAACCAAATATTTCTGCTTCGGTGTCAGAAAAGCTTAGGACCTAGCTGCTGAGCCATGTGACTCTTAGTTGCCTGAAGAACATGAACCACGCATGCAGTACTCAACTCATCCTTTCAAATGAGAGGTGTTTTCCACTGGGGACACATATGGGCCTTGCTATTGAGAACAGGAGGTAGAAACTGGATAGGAAATAAACAGTCCCTCCGGCCACTGGCTAAAAGCTGGAAATGTCTCTGGCACTGTTGGCGGTTCTGTCCTTGTTGAAGACCAAAGATGTCAGACATATTTAAGCCAAAATGTCTTAGGTTCTGCCCTGAGCAGAGGCCAGGGATTTCAAGAAGGAGGAAAATCCATGTTCTCTTATCTCTATTCCCCTAAATGAACACTCCTGACAGAAAACTACATGAAGAACGTGATTGAAGCAGAGAAGTCACATGGACACCTCATGGTTTGGCCAATGGGACTGACAAGTTTATCCTCCCCATACTTCACCCAAGTTTCTGGGCTGCTTTTATCTGTATTTATTTTTATTCTGTATGCATTTGTGGGTGTCCGATCTTAGAGTTACAGACAGTTGGGAGCTGCCATGTAGGTGCTAAGAATTGAACTCAGGTCGGCTGGCAGAGCAGTCAGTGCTTCTAACCGCTGAGCTCTCTCTCCAGCCCCCTCTGGGATGCTTGTACAACTAGCAGTTTTATGGTGTCCCATTACTGGGAATCCATTCCTGCAATACAGGACTCTGTCTTCTTTCTCTTACTCTCCCATCTATGAACCTTTAATAAAACTTTCTAAGCACATCCTTCTGTTTATGAAGTCCGTTGTTTGAATCTGAGACAAGAACCCAGAGACTTACCGACTCTGTGGAATTTTTAACCGCCACAGAGCTGTGAGCTGTGAACGTCCAACATGCTGAGTTAAATCCCACCCAAGGCAGAAGAGAATTCAGAGAATTCAAAGGCACTCCACTTTTCACAGACCACTATCATTTGTATATAGTTTGTTTCCCAAATCTATGTTATCAGAGATCAGCACCCTGTGTTAGAGTGTTGGGGGGTGGCAAAGTCTTCAAAAGGCAATTAAACCACAGAGCTTTGCTACCCACAGGGGTTACTGTAGCATCCCAAGGAGTGGGCTAGTTACCAGGAGAAGAGCCATTGTTACAGGACAGACCTGGCACCCTCTCACTTTGTTTGTTTGCCTGAAGGTAAGTTCTCCTTCCAGCTGGCTCCTTACTTTCCTGCCTTAGGGGGGGGGGGGGGGAAGCAGGGAAGGCAAGAAGGAGAGAAAGACTGACTTATAAACTACCTAGCCTCAATGTTGGTTATAACAACAGAAAAGTGGCCTAATACATGCCTGAAGACACAGTCTCATTCTAGACTCATGGTATGTGGCATGGAAGGAAGAATTTGCTTCATGGAACTTTTGTCCTCCTCAGAGAGGTGCTTCCAAGATTCGGCCCAGCAGCACTGATGGGTCCTAAAGCCTCCCATCTGGGCTGCAGAGAGCTTTCGTGGTGAAATTGGTTGAACCGTTTGGGTGGCTGTCTCGACCCTGTTGCTGTTCTCCACTGAGCTCTTTGGGAATAGTATGAATGCTTTTGTAGCTCAGAGAGGCATTTCTGCTTGAGCGTTCTTTCTCTTATTGCTCCCCAGATTCCTGGAAGAAGGTTAGAGCTCTTTCCATTGATCTGCTTCCTTGATTCTTTATCTGTAGGGAGGGTCTCACTAAGCTGCTCAGGATGACCTGGAACTTCTGTCCTGGTCCCCAGCTGCTTGTTGCTGGCATCACAGATGTGAGCCACCAAACCCAGCCTAGAGACAGCTTTAATCACTTCTTTCTCTCTCTCTCTCTCTCTCTCTCTCTCTCTCTCTCTCTCTTTTCAGACAGGGTTTCTCTGTAGCCTTGGCTGTCCTAGGCTCACTTTGTAGATCAGGCAGGCCCTGAACTCACAGAGATCCTCCTGCCTGTGCCTTCCTGGGTGCTGGGATCAAAGGTGTGTGTCACTACACCTAGCTTTGCTATAATCACTTCTTACCTGGGGCTGAGGGGACAAGATGACTTGAGACACAGACATGGACCCAAGGAAAATGGAACACTCATACAGATGCAAAGTTGTTTTTTTTTCTTTTTTTTTTAAACTTAGGTGAGATGCCTGGTTGTTCTAATCGTGTCTCAGTAAAATGTCTCCAGTTGGGTTTCTGGCAGCTACTGTGATCATCTCATGAGATTTTTATAAAAGTACACGGAAAGAAAATCTAAGACTATTTTAGAGTGTGTCCCCATCTGCTTTGGTCCCATAACTGTGTGAGAAGGGACAGTCTTTGGAATCTCTCTGAGGTGTGAAGACGCGTCACGATCCCTCTGCTTTTCATGCTTAGAATCTGCCAGCTCAGATGTTTGCTATTGTTCTATGGCCTGCTCCTAGAAATCCCAATTCTGGGACACTGCTTTCAGCGTTCAAGTGAGGAGAGGGTGGGCCTGGGAAGGGTTAGAAGCAGCATTTCTCAAAGGCTTCCCTGTGGCGACAAGTCTGGCTTGGAACTATCAGTGCTATAGCTTGGGTATGTTTTATCTTCTCCAAATTGCATGATAAAATTTAACCCCCGTTAAGAGCCCTGAAAAGGGAGGAGTATATGAAACTTCTAAAGAGGTGAGTGGCTATACTCACCTCATGATAGCTTTTAATTCTGTAAAGTCATAAACTTTAGAGCAGTTTGAGGGTTGCTGTTTTTTGGTTGGTAACTTCGTTGAGTGGTTTGGGAGCTTGGATTTCACAGACGACAAGACTATTGTTGCAATGTCAGAAAGTTGGACACATCTGAAAGCTCTTCAGATAGTGGCGATCTCAAAGCAAAGCCACTTGGACTGAGTCTCTGGGACACCTGTTGTGTTACCCACATAACGTTCTGCACCACCCCAGGACTCTGCTAGCAAAAAGCCATCACTGAATGGAGCTCCTCCTCTGTGGAGCACCGCCCTGAGCTAAAGTAACTCCTCTTTCTCTTTGTAACTGTCCCAAAGCTGAGGTATTGGGTTATAACAGAAAACAGAAGAGAGCCAAACACCTTAGTCTCAGAGCGTGGTTCAGCATTACCTAGGGGCTTGTTGGAAGCTCTAAATCTGCTCTCTTCCCAGAGGCCATGAGGGAGTCTCTCACACACAGAAGCTTGAGAAGCACCCCCGTCATGTCTACAAGCATGGGAAAAGGACTGGAGATAAAAACGGTGATTTTGCTGTCAGGTCAAGCTCCATGGAGAAGTTGGGATCTTAGAGAATGTAGAATTGTAGAGAGCAAACCTTTGCATTTCTCTAACCAAAAAAGAAGCTGAGGGAACAAGGGAAAGCCGGAGGAGTGCAGGGCTGGAGCAATGATAGTGTGCATCCCCCATTTTGCTGAGAGATGAAACACAAATTTGCTTGATTAATGTGCTGCTGTTTTCAGACATGGCTGCCTGCCTGGGTATCGAACAAAGGGCATGTTGGTTCACACTGCTCAAGGTTTTCACTCAACCAGGGAAACAGGCTACCTGGTGCCGAAGAAAGTGTAGCAATACCAGTTGGCTGGGGCTGGATTCAGACCTGGGTACAGTCCTTTTTCTTCCCTGTACTGAATGACTCTGGGAAGGTCAGATGGAGTCGGTGGGCATTTGTTCGCCTCTTCTGTGAAACATCAGAGGCTTTTGTCTCACCAGGTGCCAGTGTCTCACTCTGGAATAGACATTTGAAAATCCTCTCACTTGACCAGACTAGAAATGAAAATCAGAGATCTTAGTGCTACAGGAAGATTTTAAAAAGACTTTTTTTTGGCTCACACCTGTAATTCCAGCACTTGGGAGAGTGAGGCAAGGAGATTGCCTAGAGTTAAAGGTCAGCCTGGGCTACTGGGTAAGTTCCAAGCCAATCTGGAGTACAAAGTAGAACTCTGTTTCAAAATAATAACATAACCACTCTGGTGCCTTACCTGTAATATAGACGGAAAAGTGAAATAATAGTAGATTGTAGTGAAATGATATGCATTTGAATATGTAAACCCGAGCTGTAGAAATGGCTCAGAGGTGAAGAACACCACTGTTGTTCCTAAGGTCCTGAGTGTAATTCCCAGAAACCACATAACCACCTATAGTGAGATCTGGTGCCCTCTTCCGGTGTGTAGGCACACACGCAGGCAGACTGCTGTATAAATAATAAATAACTATAAAACAAACATATGTAAACACTTGGGCAGTTTGTTCGCCATGCCTTCTGTTTCAGTGTGCTAGTGTTTTGAACAACTGGGAACCCGCTGACCCC